TGAATTGTATCAATTCCCGGTTGGGAGGTTTTTTTTTCCCCCCGGTTCCACCTCACAAGCCCCCTCATTCTTCGCTTTCAGGTTCCTTTCCACTCCACCGCGATAAGCAAGGGAGAAGGCCTCCTTAAACTTGGGGTTTTCGCCAAAAAAGCCGGGGTCTCCTCCGGGAAAGGACCCTATTTAGGGGTTTATCGGGAGGGGACTGAGCCTGACGAGGCTGCAGGGCCGCGAGGCCCCGCCCCCCCCCGGGGTTCCCAGCACGCCCCGCGCGGGAGGACGCGGCGGCGGGGGCGGAGTGGAGGAAGGGGCGGAGCGAGGTGGGGAGAGAAGGGCGTCGGTTTTGCGACAGGGGCGGTGCGGTGCGGAAGCGGAAGTGGAGGGTGCGCTTGGCGGCGGCGGCGGGAGCTGCGGAGTCGGGAATCAAAACAAAGGGCCTGGGGGGGCGGGGGGAAGGCGGCGGGGCCGGAATGTGAGCGGAGGTGGAGCCGGCGGCTGAGGTGAGTTGGCTGGCAGCGCTGGGTACTAGTTCCTGACGGACTCACTGCTCTGGGGCCACCAGCTGGAGGCGGGACAAGTACCCCCCCTTCCCCTGCCCTTTGCTGGCGGGGGTGGGGGAGGTTGGCTACTCCGAGGTGAAGGACTGGGACCCACCAGTCAGGCCGCCAGCAAAGGTTCCGGTTGTCTCCCTTTCAGGTCCGTTCACGACTGTCATTGCTGCGCCGCTACTGCCTTTTGGGGGTGTTTGGCTCCCCGCCCGCACCTGCCTCCCTGCTCTCTGTGGGGCTTCCAGGTGTGGAGAGCAACCCTTCTCGAGCAGTGTGCACAGTTGGAAGGTTCAGAGAGGAGTAAAGGGGCGGGTGTTTTTAACCCCCGCCCCGAGCGTTTTTGCGTTCTCTTCGGTCTTTCAGCACTCTCTAGGGTGTAGTCTCTGGCTTGACAGATAAGTGTTGAGTTGCCCTGAGCCACTCCCACTACTAATTGCAAAGCAACACCGTGGTACACGTGTTAGTTTCCCAAGCACCTTTCTGGTATTACCAAGAGCTTTCCGGTTACATTTGTATCTTTTGGACTCCCCAACTTCTCTGAGCGGTAACTGTGGTGTTTTGCCTCCTGGGAGATGAAAACCTAAGTGGTCTTCCTAGACGTTTATTGAACTCTTCACTCATTGGACAGTTGTTGATAGGTACCGGACACTGCTAGGTGCAGGAAATACAGCCCTGAATAAGAAAACATGATGCCTGCTGTCATGGAGTTTATATTCAATAGGGGCGACGTAAAACATCAAGCAAATAATTTTAGATAGAAGACCTATGAAAACAAAGTAATGGGTTGGGGTGGTTTGTGGATCCAGGACTAGCTTGGGTGTTAAGAGAAGGCCACTTCTAAATTTCATGTGACTGTCTCATTAAATCCCAACAACAGCCCTTTGAGGATGCTGCGGTTACTATCAGGCCCATTTTACAGATAGGATTTGAGGTTCGGAGAGGTTGTGAGCTCTCCAAAGCCGCACAGATAGGAAGCCGCAAAATTGGGACTTAATACACAGACTAACAGTAGAGTCTGTGCTCTCAAGCACTGTCTGAATTGTTCAAAGACTCTAACTCACGTCGGATAGAACTTGCTTTGGCTGCCTAAGTACTTAGTGGCATTCCCAGGAATGCTTGGGAAATTTTCTGGGTGCGGGCCACTAACCTGCTAATACATTTGTACTTTCTGTTGATTGTGTTGGGCAATACGGAAGGCACCTTGTTGTGGTGGATAGGGGTGGACAAGCCTGGTTCTGCCCCCTCTCTGCCAAGTGTGATCTTGGCAAGTTGCAAAACTTAATTAAACTTCTGCTTACTCCTCTGTAAAATGTGGCTTATTTCTCTCTCGTCTATCTCACAGATTGACTGTGGGGAAAAAAAAGATTACATAAATGGATCTTACTGTCTGGTTGCTTTCATCATTGTATCTCCTGGGCCAAGCACAGACCTGTTATATAGTAGACACTAAATAAATATTTACTGAATGAGGAAATAATGTTAAATAAAAGTACTTTGTAATCTGTATTGTACTCTCCCTGTTACCTCACTTTCAGCATTGGCCTTGAAGAGGTGAGAGAGCACATTGAAGTTGTGTATTGTGAACATCACAAATTCCTATGATCTAAAGAGGAGATTGTAAGGGAATATAAGACCTGTCTTGAGTAAGAAAAACAGCTAGTATAGCTATTATAATTTATCATTGTGGCTGTTAATGCTGTCTCTGCTTCTAACTTAACTCCTAACTGTATGTAGTAGGTAAATAGTTACTTTATTCATTCCTTCATTTAACAAATAATTACTTAGTATGTAAGGTTTAGCAAGCCCTGTGCTTAGCACAGACTATACATTGGTGAAAACAAATGGATGGGGAGCGGGGAGGAGTCCTTTGTCTAATTCCCCCCCCCCCCAATGCCTTGGAGGGGGAAAAATGAGGCACACTCTACAGAGGAAGAAACTGAAACTTAAGGGCCAAATAGTAAATGTTTTAGGCCTTCCCCTCCAGTCTCTGTTTCTGGTAACTCAACTCTGTAGTTGTAGTGCATAAGCAGCCCCAGACAGTACTTAAACAAACTTCTCTATTTATAGATACCAAAAGTTGAATTTCATATAATGTTGTGTTGCACAATTTTTTTCCCCTAAGAATTAAAGATATATAAAATACATTTAGTTTGAAGGCCATTTAAATACAAGCAGCAGGCTGGTTTTGGCTGGCCGGCTATAGTTTGCCTACCCCTGCTTTCTGTGATCAGTTGTATATTTTAGAGTACTGGTTAGTCATTGTTCCCTTCACCATATTGTGTCGATGTTAAACTCTTGAGAGGAGCATCTTATCAGAGTGATAGCTAAAAAAATTGTTTTCAGGGGCGCCCGGGTGGCTCACTCGGTTAAAGTGTCCAACTCTTGATCTCAAGTCAGGTCTTACGGTATACGGGACTGAGCCCTGTGTGGGGCTCTGCACTGACCATGCAGAGGCTGCTTGGGATTTTCTCTCTCCCTCTCTCTCTGCCCCATCCCCACTCATGCCCTATCTCTCTCAAAATAAATAAATAAAAACATTAAAAAAATTGTTTTATTTATGTTCAGGTGAATTTTCTGATAAATTGATGACTTTAAAATGGCCACTGTGGGTAAGAAGAGGTGGTTGTTTGGTATGATGGCGAAGACTTGGAATTGACGTTCTGCTGTCCTTACCATTGGCAGGCTGCCTCCATGCCCAGTGGCTGTTATCGATTTGATCTGCTTTTATTGTACTGTTTAAGACTTGTAAGAATGTGGTTGCACTGGAATAGATATAGCACATCTGTGACTTGAGATTTCTCGGTTGGATTTTTGGTGGTATATCAGATTGCACTTTCATGATAAGTAAATGAAGGAATTGGTTCGATTTGTTCTGTAGCAGAATCACATTCAGAGTCCACAGAGGTCACTTAATTTGGACCTTCTGTAGTCACATCAATGACACAGTGGGTTAGGTTGCTGTTAAGTCAGATGCCAGAGTCTTACATAATTGGAAATGAAGACGTGTGTTTGTTCTTTTACTAAAATTACATGCTCTTGTCTATTAACATTTTGACCCTCGCAAGTAGAGCCTTTAGGGGAGAGATGGTTGAGAAGAATTAAGAAAAACTGTAGAAAAGGCCTCCTCGGGGCTGGAGGAGGTTGTCCCTTGGCTAGAATTCTACTTTTGTTTCTATGATCTGACTTACTGGGAGCTATTGTACCGTAAATGTAGTTGCGCCATAAGTACGGTTGAAGTTACGCTTTTTAATAGTAAAATTTGTCCTTATGCAAATAACTGACGTTGAGATCTCGTTCTTAACAGGGTGGAAGAATGACAGAAAAGAAAGATGGGAGAATGTTGAACCACTTTGTATGGCTGTATGATGGAAGGAAACGGAACTGAGGACCCCTGCAGTAGAACACTTGGATGGCTCCGACAAAATAATGATGCTAAGCCATGGCTCTGGAAATTTTCTAATTGCTTTTCTCGTCCTGAGCACACATTGCCACTTAGCCCCCACACGGTAACTATGTGCAAGACTGAGGACGTAGCAAATTCCTTATGCAAATAGATGAGTGGCCCATTTGGTCTGGGGCAGTCTCTCTTTCCCTGGAGTCTGTGCTAAGTTTTACTTTGCATCCTGCTTTTTCCTCCTTGTAGCACATGATTATAATTTCTGACTCAAGGAGAGCATAATTTTTTAACTGTAGCTGCTTTGAATATTTAGTGTTAACATCTTGGGAAGACTTCTTAGGAAAGTCAGAGATTCCATAGATGAAATCCAAATTGTAGAGTCGAATCAGAGGGAAGTCTAAAATAGACTTTATTCTACTGTAGCCTTCTGAGGTTTGAGTCTTAAAATCAAGGGAAGATTGAAAGGACCTTATTGGCGGTCTTTTTCTGTTCAAGATTTCTCTTGAACATTTAAACATGTCTGCAACTTCTTCCTTGGTTTTTTCATAGTGATTTTGACTTTTTCTGATGTCATGCATGCATCATGCTCCCACTTTTCTGTTTTTTCTTTCCTTTTTTTGGCTTTTGCCTTTGGCATTTGAATGAGACTTTATGAATTTATATAAGGGCATTAATAACTTTTTAAAACCTCAGCTAAATTCCTTATCTCCTCCAGGGTTTCATTATATAGTTCTCTTTTTTGCATGGCATCAGTAATTGTGGTCATTTACTTTAAGGACATCTGACAGCAGGGTTGGCACCTCAAGCAGGGCTTCCTGGGATGGTCGGTCAGGCCCCCGTGGGGTCCGACAATACAGGATTGCACTTTCACTTTATAGATCCAGACACCTGCTTCTTTCAGTGGTGCCCAGACCTGAGTCAAGACCATAAGAGCCAGATCTATATAAATCCGAATGCCAGTAAATGAATTTCTAGCCTGAACTGTAATTACCAAGAAAGCAGGACACGCTGCTTGTTGGCAGTCAGTCAGTTATCAGCAACCCCCCCCCCCCC